TTTGGTTTTTGATTTAGTCCAACTAAAAATGAAAGATATTACTTAACCAAATAGCACAATTTTTAATCTCAAATGAGAAGATTTAACTTTTACAGTAACACATTTTTTTAATTTGGTTTTCATTACAGGAAAATAAAAATTAATCACTTTTAACCCGTATTGTATTAAAAATTATGAGCTTCAAATCATGTAATTTTTTATTTAAAACTTCCTTTTGGGGAGATAAGAATGGTGGGGTGTTTTTTAATTGGTAATTAATAATTAATGTTGTTAATAAATTTGATATGAAAATATAATCTCCAAATCTATTTGTCATTTTGAAAGTTGGTTTGAAATAAAATGAGGTGATTCAACCTAATTATAATTGTTTGAGTAAAAAAATAGTAAATATGCAAATCTGTACATCACATAGACATGCTTAATAAAACCAATAGTACAAAAGCTAAACTTTCTTAGTATTTTTCTAAATTTGCTTTTAAATTTGAACAAATTATATTTGTCTTATAATTTTGTATAGAATAAATATACACAATAAATAAGATAAATAATGTACTTAAAGTTTATTCATTTGAGAATTTGAGTGACATTATAAGACTTTAAAATTTGTTGATTTTAGTGAAATCTTTATTTGAGATCGTAAGTCTAAAAGTGGATTTGGAATTGAAATTTAACATATATAATTCATATTTGAAATTTTCAACAAATTTTTAAAAAGTGTTAACATATCACTATTAATTAAGTTAAAAATTTCATGACTTGTAAAACTTTTTAAAATCTCATTTTAATAACTGGAGAATTCAAAATTTTTAAAAAAACTAAATTAAATAAAAAAAATTTTAACATCTCAAAAGTTCATTGGAATATTAAATGTGTACACCTTAAACTATTTTATTTGAAAACCTTTTTTGAACTCTAATTTCTACTATGTAAGATAAACTCATACACAAAATAAATTAATTTAGTAGAATGGCATTTTAAAAAATAGTTGGAATTATTATCATGAAAAAATATATTGCATTAATGTTGCAATACAAACTAAGTGTTTAAATTAGCCTTGAAAAAAACGGTTGAAATTATTATCATGAAAAAATATAATGCATTAATGTTGCAATACTAACAAAATGTCCTTGTGGTCCTACCCGGCTCGATTTCGAATTAGTGCATTTCCCTGTGAATCCAAAAACCGGAAGGTCCCTGTACAAAAAAAAAAAAAAGTTAGCCCCAGATAAATCTGAATCCTGGCTACGCCACTGATTGCAGGGAATTTTCCTTTTCCAGAGGTGAGCATTGCAGGGATTCTGTTTGCTAGAAACATGTTTTTTAGCGTGTGTGTTTTTCAGTGAGTGATTTTCCGTTGGGATGTAAAAACTTGGTCACGACTCAAATTAACTTGGTGACTACTCAAATTAACTCGGTCACTACGCATGTTTCGTCTCAAATTAAAATGCACGAAATGGGAGACATGTTGCGAGAATGGGCATAAATGGGCTTCGATAAATGGATTGAATAGTATGATATGATAGTGTCTAATAGTACTGGGCCGTGTCAGAGAGTATAACTGGGCTTGGATCATCTAATATAAATGGTAATGGGCCAACTAATTGGGCTAATAAAAAATTAAATAATTAAAAAAATAATTAAAAAATAATTAACGATCTTAAAAAATAAAAAATAATTAAAACTTAAATATAATTAAAATAATTAAAAAATTGGACCCGGAATCACCCTCATTCGAAAAGCACCCACCGCCGTAACCCACGTCGTGACCAGTGAGGAGTGGCGCGGATCTTGAACAGATCGCCGGCCAGCATCGGCCAAAAGATGTTCCCATATCGAACGAGATGATGAGTATATGGTGGATTCATTCATTTTTTTTTTATTTTTTTTTATTTTTTTTGAGGGAGAGATGAGTACATGGTTGATTTGTTGGTAAAAGCCATTCGAGATAAAAAGTAGTGGTAATGGTGCTTTATAGCACTTTAGCAAAAGACAAAATGCAATATGGCCATCTTTTGTAAAAAGATAAAATCTAGCCATTTTGGGTTGCAAATTGACCAGATTGCCCTTTTTCACCTTTTCTAATTTTCATTCCATTTTCCATTTTTTATTTTCATTATTGAGTTGTTTTTTCACCTCCATTCACTCCATCTTTCCCCGCCTCTCGCACCATTCTCCATTTTCAGATTTTTAAGCTCTCTTCTCCGGCGGCAACTCGAAGCTCTCTTCTCCGGCAACTCGAAGCTCTCTTCTCCGGCAACTCGAAACTCCCATCAATCGCAGTTCATCTCGAAACCAGGTTCATATTTTTTTTT